AATGTTAAGAAAATCATAAGAAAGAGAACATACATTTATAGTACTGTACAGTATTTATTGGAAAAAAATCCACATTTAAGTGAACCTGTGCAGTTCAAACCCATGTTGTTCAAGGGTCACCTGTGTTTAGAGGTAGAGGTGACACATTTTCTCAAAGACCCAATGTGGGGTGGGAGAAAAAGAAAAAGAAGCAAGGTTTTTGGCCTAAGCAACTAGAAGGATGGAGTTGCTGTTGATTGAGGCAGAAGAGGCTGAAGAAGGAGCAGGTTAGTTTTGGACATGTAAGACTGAGAAGCCACTAGACATGCAGATGGAGATGTTAGTAAGCAGTTTGATTTCAGGTCTGGATTCAAGGGAGAGAGGTCCAGGCTAGTGATAGGAATTTCAGGGTCATCAGCACAGAGGTGAAATTCGAAGCCTTTAGAATGGATGAGATTCCCTTAGGGTGTGAATGTATTTATAAAAGAGAAGTCTAAAGAGTGAGTTCTGCTGGGGCGCTCCTGCATTTAGTGCTGGGAAATGAGGGAGAACCAGCAAAAGAGGCTTTAAAGGAAGAGCCCAAAAGGTGAGAGTAAATCCATATGAGAGGTGAAAATATTTCAAGGAAGAGACAGTCATCAAATGGGTTAAAACAGCATTTTACAAACTCTAAAATCAGTCAGCATATATTAAAACACTTACTAGGTACCAGGCACTGGTGATTTAATCAACCACTCAGTCAATCAATGAGCAAGAAAGCCATGGCCCCCCGCCCTCCGGGAGCCCTCAGTATTATAGTGGAGACTGGTGTGTATTCAAATTAGCAGGGCTATGTAAATGAGTAAGACAAACACTGTACCAGGTAGGAGCCTAGCACAAAAGGAAGGAGTGAGCAGTTTTCCTTTGACTCCTCTAGGCAATCTCATGCTCATGGCTTTAACTTCCCACTCTGCCTTTTCCTTAAATCCATATTTTCAGTCCCAACCTCTCTTCCTAGCTTTAAAATCACATCCAAGTGCTAGACCTCCTTACAAAATGTTCCCTGCTATGTACCTCACACATACCATATGGTTGGCCCTCCATGTACCTGGGTTCTGTATCCACGGATTCAACCAACAGCGGATCAAAATATTCTAAAAAATAAAAATTAATGATACAACAATAAAAATAATACATATAATGCAATACAGTATAACAACTATTTACATAGCATTTACATTGTAATAGGTATTATAAATAATCTAGAGATGATTTAAAGTGTGTGGGAGGATGTGCATATGTAACATGGAAATACTACTACACTATTTTATGTGAGGGACTCAAGCATCGTGGATTTTGGTATCTGTGGGGGTCCTGGAACCTATACCCCTTGGATACTAAGGGACGACTGTATGTCCAAAATTGAATTTATTATTTCTGTTTTTCTCCCTCTCTTTCCTTAAGACCCTACCTTGCCAGATATACAAACACATGATAAAGATATGATTACAAAAATAATATGGCCCTGCTATAAATATATCAGAAACACAATAGTGTGTATATAAATATGTAACTTTAATATACCATAAAAGTGGCATTAGTAATTAGTGCTGGGACAACTAGTTAGGTATTTGAGAAATGAGAATCAATTTAGATTCTCACTTCATACCTTTTACCATCATGAACCCTACATGGATTAAGGACTTATGTATAAATAAATCAAACTGTAAAAACTAGAAGCAAGTAAGTATGAGTAAATATCACATATTTGGATGGGCTTTTTAAAGCAAAAGACAATGGATGTAATCTTCACCATCACCCCTAACTTCCTCAGCCCGTATTCTATCACAGATGTCCCACTGCTCCCAGTCACCTAACCCAGAAACCAAAATGTCATTCGCTGTTCTTTTCTCTCCTCATCCCCTCACTCAGGCAATCTCTAAGTCCTGCTGGTTTACCTCTTAGCATTTCTCTAATCTCCCTCTTCTCCATTTCTGTTGCCCCTGCTGTCTTCTAATTGCTTATTCCTACCATCACTTCTCACTGTTTGAAATAACCTGCTGACCAGTTTCCTTCACTCCAGGATTGTCTTCCATATAGCTGCCAGAGGGATCTTTCTACAGCACACCCCTGACCCTTCCTAGAATGTCTCAGTGGCTTCCCATTTGCCTCCCAGGTGAAATCCAAACTCTTGTGCAAGGCTCCCAGTGCCCCAGAGCCTGGGTTCTCCTCGGAGGAGCAATTACTCTCTGCAGCGATTCCAGAGCAGTCATGTGGGCTGGGCGTATGTGCCTGCTGAGCAACTTGCCGCATCTCTCCTTGGCTTGTTGTGAAGCAGCAGTCTGGGGACTCATCACAGAGTGACCCATTGCATCACTTTCTAGCAAATCTTCCCTTGCCTCACTTGCCCTCCCTGCCCTGGGCCTGCAAACACAAAGAACTTATCCTCTAGGCACAGTGGCTAGGACCCACGATAGTTTTAGGAGCCCAAGAAAATGTTTTAATTTGAATTTATGTTAAAATCAGAAAAAAATAAGTATTATAATAATAATGAATATATGATAGTGAATCCAGCCTGGATTATATTCCTCTTTATACCAATGCAGTCATAAAATTTATGACTAAAATTAATAGAACAAAAGAAAGGAAGAAAAAATAAAAATAAATTTATTACTATATTCATTTTAAAATAATATATAAAATAAATATGTTTTAACATTTTAATGAAGGAAGGGACCCATGAAAGCAAATGTGCCTAGGACCCACAAAAATCTTAATGCAGTCTTGATTGCATTTCCTGTATAAAGTATTTGCACTTTAATCTTTGCTTCAAGCTCTGCTTTTTAGAAAACCACAGCTTTCATTTTCATGCTTATTACCTCATGGGTGCAAGATGACTGCTGCATCTCCAGACACCTCCGTATTCCAGGAAAAAGGGGATAGAGTACCTCTGTTCTTGGTTTTCAAGAAAGCACAAAGCTTTATCATAAAGCCACTCCAGCAGACTTCTGTGTCCATCTCATGGCCAGAATGTCACACAGATCTAACTGCAAGGGTGGTTGAGGATCCAGTAGTTAACATCCCAGCCTCTGGAGTAGAGAAAGAGTGTTGAGTGCTGCCCACTGAGGCCTCTGTGATCTGACCCCATGCTTCCCTTCTAGGCCCATCTTTGGTCACCCCTGACTCACATGCAGTGCTCCAGCAATGCCCCACTGTTTGGAGTGTTCCCTCTGTGCTATACCTTTTATCACATCACACCTTTGCTCAAACTCTCCCTGCCACCTGCCCTCCTCCCCTTTCCCATCTTGCCCTCCTGCAGGCAGGGTTCCCTGACATCTCCTCCCACCTCATCCTCAGTGAGAAGCCCAGCCTTGTCACTTTCATAATACCCACATAGTTGCACCAAGGGACTGCCTGGGATTGCTAATTATCTGTCTGTGTGCCTTCCTCCTTTGTGTCAGTGGTGCCCACTACTGTGCCTGATTCATGTTGAATCTTGATGAAAGCTGATCTTCCCTCATTATCCTCTTTTACCTCTGTTTGCAGGCTCAGATAAGAGTCAGGGCATGTTGGCCTTGTCCATCAGTCCCAATCGGCGATACCTCGCTATCTCCGAGACTGTGCAAGAAAAACCCACCATCACCGTTTATGAACTGTCATCCATCCCTTGCCGGAAGCGCAAAGTCCTTAATAATTTTGACTTCCCAGTTCAGAAATTTATTAGCATGGCTTTTTCTCCAGACTCCAAATACCTATTGACTCAGACATCACCTCCAGAGTCAAACCTTGTCTATTGGCTGTGGGAAAAACAGAAAGTAATGGCCATTGTTAGAACCGACGCACAGAACAACCCTATCTACCAGGTACCTCCTAGTGTAACAAGTATTGTGCAAACTATTGAAAATAGTTAAGTTCTCTCTTTTGTTGAATGCTTCCTATGTACCACGGTGCTAATTTCTTACATGCATTTGAAAATTTAGCCTCACAACAACTATATAAGATATGCATGTTTACTATCCCCATTTTACAGATGAGACAACTGAGGTTAAGTAACTTACCCAAGATTACAGAGGTAGTGAGTAGCAGAGCCAGGAGTTCCCTAACTCCAGCTCCTGTCTTCTTTTCTCTGGCTCAGAGCTGCTTTCTGGTCACAGGTTGGGCCCCAGGTGGTTTAATAAAACCTGATGTCTCTCCCTGATCCTGGCCTCTTTCCAGCAGTATTGCTGGGCAGAAGGAAGATTTCAGGAATGGAATGTAAAGTGGTAGATTTTTAGGAAGCTATCAATGAAGTTGCAGTTTTATGGGGAACAGAATTTTCTATTGTGGTTTGAGGGCAAATGAAGATCCTGGCCTCTTTCCAGCAGTATTGCTGGGCAGAAGGAAGATTTCAGGAATGGAATGTAAAGTGGTAGATCTTTAGGAAGCTGTCAATGAAGTTGCAGTTTTATGGGGAACAGAATTTTCTATTGTGGTTTGAGGGCAAATGAAGGGGGTCCATCAGGGGGTTGGTTGACTGCTTAGGCAGGGGAGATCTTAAGGAGGTTTTTTATCTTGATACAGCCACACCAGTCCAGGATCTAAAACTCAGTTTTACAAGTTCTAGAACTCAGATCTGTTCATGTTCAAAGACTGTAGCTAATCAGTGGCCCAGCCACAGGTTCAATTATTCAGCTCACAAGAGGTTGGTGTGTTAACTAGCACATCACAACCAGAATACTCACGCCATTTATCCAGGGTATTCCCTTCCTGGGAATACAGAAGTTGAGAGGTGAAATTAGTGATCAGAAGGTTGCTTGGTGATCACAGAATCAGACAAAAGGCAGGTAGAACAAGATTCTTTTGTCCAGGCCGTGGTGAGGCCTGATGAAGCATCCCTGTTCAGAGCAAAGAGCATCTCCTCTCAGGTCAGTGCAGTAAACGCATAGTGGATGCCCACCGTGAACCCAGCGCTGGGAATGCAGAGATGAAAGAGCCACAGCCCTTCAAGTTGCTCACCACCTCGTGGGGACAGCAGGTTGACTGCCCGTTACTGAACACTGGGACGAGAGTGACAGTTGAAGGAAGCCCCGTTGACAGGAGACCACATAACATCCCCTAACACGTGGGCCCTTTTGCCCTGGACAGGGCTCCGTAAGCCTGCCAGACCCTCATTGTTCTGTGTTTCGGCTAAGCCTCATTTTATTTGTTGGCACAGAGTTTGGCTATTGTCAAAACCTGCTCATTCTGCTGTATGATTTTTGTGGATTTCCTAGTTTAAGACTCACAGGCCCTACAAATATAATGGATATAGATGAGTGCCCTTATCAAATGTGATATAAAATTACATGCTTAGTGATATTTAAAGGACATTCTGAGCTACTGGATATAAATATTCACCGCTAAAATGGGAAATAATTTTATCAAGGTTAGTTTTATAAATCTTTTCTTACATTCTGTCATATTTCACAGGTGAGCTTCAATCCCCAGGATAACACTCAGGTTTGTGTCACTGGAAATGGGATGTTTAAGCTTCTTCGTTTTGCCGAGGGAACCCTGAAGCAAACCAATTTTCAGAGGGGAGAACCCCAGAACTATCTAGCCCATGCCTGGGTGTCTGATGACAAGATTATTGTTGGCACTGATACAGGCAAACTCTTCCTCTTTGAATCTGGAGATCAACGCTGGGAGACGAGTATTATGGTCAAGGAGCCCACCAGTGGCTCCAAGAGCCTGGAGGTCATCCAGGAATCAGAGAGGTAAGGTGCCCTCTGGGCTGGTGCTCAGACACTCGTCGTACTAACAGCATTCTACAGAAAAGAGCATTCGTCAAAAACTACTTGTAGCCCCTCTGCCTTGAAAGTCACCTATGTTCACTTTCCCTCTTCCTTTCTAGTGTCCATTTACATTCAAGCACAAATTTGATGGTTATAACCATAGCTTAGATATAATTCTTTTTATTTCTATACCTAACCTCATTTTATAAGCATTTTAGTATAACTGGTCTTCAAAATTGTAGTCTTTCAAAATATAATTTTTAGTGGCTGTCTAATTTACTGAATTGGTTAAATAAATGTCCACTGAGCCCTTGCAGTGTGCAAGTCATCTTGCTAGGGGCTGGGGACACGGGTCCTCAAGAAACTTACAATTCATTTGGAGGCAACCGGCCAACAAAGACGTGCAAGGAGATGTAGGTAAATCTGATGGAGGATATGGGGTGAAGGTGGGAGTCAGGAAGCAGTGGTCAATTTTGCCTCTGAGATAACCAGTAAGAATCGTGTCTCACACGTATTGGACTGCAGCAGTGGGTGTATCATACACTGCTGTAAGCACTTCATATACATTCCCATTTGAGTCTTACCCTATGTAGTACATTTTATTATCACACCCATCTTATAGACAAGGAAACTTAGGCTCAAAGAAGTTAAGTGACTCAACCAAGATGACAACGCTCTTAAGAGGCAGGATTGGGATTCAAACCCAGATCTGGCTCTAGAACCTGAGCCCTCAACCACAATGGCATCCTGTAGATTCTTCTTGCTTTCAGTCCACCCATTTTTCACCATCCCCCCTTGCCAAAGACATCTCCTTTTGTGTTGTGAACTTCTCCAGTTTGCTGTGTTCAGTATCCTTCAGCAAGTCCAGATCTCCCAGGATAAACCCAGACTCCTCAGCGTGGCTCACACATCTCTGCTGCCTTCTCCCTTCTGCAGCTCTCTCCTCTGTCCACCGCACATGCCCCGAGCATTCTCTTGCTTCTGGGCTTGGCTAGGTGCAGTTCCCACTGTCCCGCACCCCTACCTCATTCTCCTAGATACATACACATAACACGGCATACTCCGGTGTGGCCTTCAGGTCTCAGCTGGGAGCTCAACTCAGATAGGTGCACCTGCTCTGTAACTGTAGGTGCAGTTCCCACTGTCCCGCACCCCTACCTCATTCTCCTAGATACATACACATAACACGGCATACTCTGGTGTGGCCTTCAGGTCTCAGCTGGGAGCTCAACTCAGATAGGTGCACCTGCTCTGTAACTGTGCTCAGAAAACCCTTGTTACCTGCTGCCTGGCTGCTCCCATCTTACTCAGCTGCCCCCAACAGTGTTTAGCACAGATCCCCCTACACTATATGCTTCTGAGGGCAAGAAGTGTGTCAATCTTATTGACCATTATTTCACAGAGCTATTAACATAACTCCAAATAAATACTTGTTATATGAATAAATAAAGAAAATGGAAACCTGGATTCAAATTTCAGCACTACCACTTACTAGTGGTGTGATCTTAGAAAACTCAACCCCCTCTGAGCCATTTTTTCCTG